TTCCCGTCGTGTCATCGAGGAAACGGTAGGTTCGGGAAGTTGTTACAGTAAGTGCATGAAAGTTTCGTTCAGGCAATTACATGACACGACGAAGGATTTCGGACTGCCTCCTCTCATCTTCTAACAAGTCGAATTATAAGGAAACTAACTCATAGTGAGTCAGAAAGTCATTGACAATCGATTTTATCTCTCGAACCTTTAACCAGACCATTAATAAGTAGTGGTTACCCTACGTGGTGAAAGTATTCCGCTCTTGTAAACGTCAAAAAGGTTTGTAGACCTTACTGCAACGGAACAATATCTTTCTAATTTTTGTACTGTTTCACCAACCGAATTATAGACGTCGATTCGGCATTCTTTATTCCCACCCTCAAGCAGCATTTAGAAGGATGACATGTGATACTGTGGACCATGGCATTCTATGCCAGAAGTTATCTCATATAGGCCTGTCTGACCAAGCTGTTGGTTGGTTTGCAAACTATCTTTCAAATCGCAAGCAATGTGTAAAATTCAGCGGTCTCTCCTCAAGCTTTCTTAACGTGCCCAGAGGCGTTCCTCAAGGTTCGGTCTTGGGACCGACCCTTTTTACTATTTATATAAATGATGTGGGTCAAAGTATTGATGCCTCTGTACATCTATATGCAGATGATACTGTTGTGTACTGTTGTGCTAGCACTGTTGCCCTTGCATTTGAACGTCTGCAGTCTGCTTTTGACACTTTTCAGTCACATCTGTTCCACCTTAGGTTGGTGTTAAATTCAGATAAGACAAAAGTCATGTTGTTTTCCAATAAGAAAAAGTTACCAACTATTCTTCCCTGCATCATTTCTGCATAGCATAACCCCATTGAAGCTGTTAACACCTACAGATACTGAGGCATCACTATAGATGAAAATCTCTGCTTCAAACCACATATTGACAATCTCTTAAGGAAATTGAAATTAAAACTGGGATTTTTTTCTAGAAATAAGGCCTGCTTCTCCACAAGTGCGAGGAAACGGCTTGTAGCTGCTACATTTTTGCCGCTCTTGGACTACGGGGATGTTGTGTACATGAACGCCTCAGCTCACTCCCTTCATCTGCTGGACGCTGTTTACCATGGGGCTCTGAGGTTCATTACCAACTGTAAACCCCTCACACACCATTGCACGCTGTACGCTTTAGTCAACTGGACATCATTATCAATGCGCAGATCACTGCACTGGTACAAACTCATCTATACCGCTATGCTTGGACTGCTGCCCCTCTACATATCCACTTACATATCACACAAACAGTACAGTTATAGACTACGATCTCAAAATTACATCACTCTGTCCGTCCCCTCAGTACGCACGGTGCTTGGGAAAAAAGCCATATCATACTCTGCCCCCTCGACACTGGAACACACTTCAGCAGGAACTTAAGCTGACCAGTTTCATACCCATCACAGATTTTAAACTCATTTTAAAAAAGCTGGAGAAATCATCTGTGGGTGTTTGCACCTGCTATATCTGACTGTATATGGATTTTAATGACAACTTATTTATTTTTTTTACGATGTTGTATTTTAGTGTTGCCTCTGTGTTTAGTGTCCTGTCTGTCTGTAACTTTGTGTGGTAGTGTTACCACTGACAGGTCTCTCTAGAAAATGAGACCTTGTGTCTCAATGAGATCTAAATCTGTATAAATAAAAGCTAAATAAAAAAAATAAACTGTAGGGAATATCATACATGATCTATAAATGTATGTTTCTTTTAGTTTTATTTGAAAAGTCTGGTACTGTACTATCATTTCAGCACTTGTACATGACTCATATGCTAACCTTGAGACGTATACATATATTTATATTAAGCATGCAGTTGGTAGTTATTTCGCAATAAGTTTTGCGGTCTTTGACTGAAAACGATGTATTTGAATACAAAACATATTTTATTATAACCTTTCTGCTTCAAATTACTTTGTTTCCTTGTACTTTGATTAAATAAATTAATATTGAATTAGTTAGATAAAAAACATATATATATAAATATCTGTTGCAAGTCCAATAAAATCAATGAAACAATGTATGACAGAAATAGTTGCAGCACAGCAGTGTTAGTAGTCATAGAATTAGATAGCAAAAGCTATGCAGGAGCAGCTTAGAGTAGGCTGTGGCTCAGGGGGGGAATGGGCATTTATCAATCAGATGGTCGCCTAACCCTGACCCTAACCCTGCAGTCAACCTGTCAGAGTGTCCCTGGGCAAGCGTCAGCTAAATGATACGGTATGTAATGTAATGTTATATAGCAAATGTGAAACACTGGGGGTGGTTATTGTACATTAGGAACAGAAACAGCAGAGAGTTAGGGGTAAGACAGGGGGGGGGGG